GTGAGGCACTAAATGAGTGTGTGAGGTGCTAGATGAGTGTGTGAGGTGCTAGATGAGTGTGTGAGGTGCTAGATGAGTGTGTGAGGTGCTAGATGAGTGTGTGAGGCACTAGATGAGTGTGTGAGGTGCTAGATGAGTGTGTGAGGCGCTAGATGAGTGTGTGAGGCGCTAGATGAGTGTGTGAGGTGCTAGATGAGTGTGTGAGGTGCTAGATGAGTGTGTGAGGTGCTAGATGAGTGTGTGAGGTGCTAGATGAGTGTGTGAGGCGCTAGATGAGTGTGTGAGGTGCTAGATGAGTGTGTGAGGCTCTAGATGAGTGTGTGAGGCGCTAGATGAGTGTGTGAGGTGCTAGATGAGTGTGTGAGGTGCTAGATGAGTGTGTGAGGTGCTAGATGAGTGTGTGAGGCACTAGATGAGTGTGTGAGGTGCTAGATGAGTGTGTGAGGCACTAGATGAGTGTGTGAGGCGCTAGATGAGTGTGTGAGGCGCTAGATGAGTGTGTGAGGTGCTAGATGAGTGTGTGAGGTGCTAGATGAGTGTGTGAGGTGCTAGATGAGTGTGTGAGGTGCTAGATGAGTGTGTGAGGCACTAGATGAGTGTGTGAGGTGCTAGATGAGTGTGTGAGGTGCTAGATGAGTGTGTGAGGTGCTAGATGAGTGTGTGAGGCACTAGATGAGTGTGTGAGGTGCTAGATGAGTGTGTGAGGCACTAGATGAGTGTGTGAGGTGCTAGATGAGTGTGTGAGGCGCTAGATGAGTGTGTGAGGCGCTAGATGAGTGTGTGAGGTGCTAGATGAGTGTGTGAGGTGCTAGATGAGTGTGTGAGGTGCTAGATGAGTGTGTGAGGTGCTAGATGAGTGTGTGAGGCGCTAGATGAGTGTGTGAGGTGCTAGATGAGTGTGTGAGGCACTAGATGAGTGTGTGAGGCGCTAGATGAGTGTGTGAGGCACTAAATACTCAGCAATTCACAACTGTCGTCAACTTCAGAGAGGTGGTGGCACTGCTCTTTACTACCACCAAGAACTAACATGCTTAAAAGAAATTAGAACTAGAGACTGCTATGGGGAGTATATCTTCGCCAGCTTCAGAGTCAAGGGTGCCGAGTCTGTCCTGTCTGTGGGTGCAGTTTATAGAATTCCTAACACTGATGTGTCCGAATTCAACTCAAACCTTAGAAATCTAATACTTGATAACAGACTGAACAAAAACCACCTAATTATCGCAGGGGACTTTAATATTGACCTCTGCGAGCCAGATCACCCTACTGCTGTTAGCTTCCTCAACTGTATGAATTCCTGCTTCCTCATACCCTTAATCACTAGACCTACTACTATTATTATTATTATTAATTACTAGAATCACTGATAGCACTGCCACGACTCTAGATCACATCTGGACAAACATAACCTCTCCGCTTACTTCAGGTATAATCACCGATAGCACTACAGACCATTACCCCACATTTCTCTTAACTAACATTAGCAAACCACCTCTAGAGTCAAGGGAGTTAAGTTTTAGGCTGCACAATGAAACTGCTATAGACAATTTTATAACTGCTGCTGATAATGTCAACTGGGAGTCCGAGTTAGGTAACATAGAGGACATCAATCTAGCAGTGCAATCTTTTCTTCAAAAAACTCTTAGCCTTTATAATACCCACTGTCCTACGCTTACAAAACAAGTCACAACCAAAAGGCTTAACAATCCCTGGCTTACAAAGGGAATACTTAAATCTATTAATAAAAAACATGACCTTGAGAAGAAGTATAGGTTAGGAATTGTCTCCAAAGAATTCTCTAAGAATTACTCATTATTGCTGTCTAAGATAATTAGACGAGCCAAAACTAAATACTACGAAGATAAATTTACCCAAATAAAGAGCAACATTAAACAAACTTAGAGAACAATTTCTCAAATATTGGGATCAAAGAAGTCTTTAAATAACAAACCGACTCTCCTGTCTAATAACGATGGTCAGCTTTCAGCCTCTGATTCTGCTATTGAGTTCAATAGGTTCTTCTCTTCCATTGGTTCATCCCTTGCAAATGATATTCCATCTTCCAGTACAGACATTAAGGACTATCTTACAGGTAACTATCCACAGTCTCTGTACCTAAAGCCTATTAACTCCACTGACGTCAATGAGATAATCCTTTCCCTTAAAACCAAGTCTGGTGCCCTTGAGGAGATACCAACTTTAATTTACAAAAAAGCCTCCAGATCTTTAGCCCCTGCTATTGCTTTGCTCTTCAACAAGTCACTTGAACTCCAAACCTTCCCAGATATTCTAAAAAAAGCGAGAGTAACGCCTGTCCACAAATGTGGTGATCTCACAGATGTTAACAACTACAGACCTATATCTATCCTACCAAACTTGTCAAAAATTTTTGAAAAACTAATCTATAAGCAGCTTTACTCATATCTAGCCAAACTCAATATACTTAGCCCTTGCTAATATGGCTTCAGACCCAAAAAAAGCACTAACGATGCACTTATTAGTATGCTTAACTCGATTCATACAGCTCTTGATAAAAATGAGTTCCCTGTTGGGTTATTTGTGGACCTGCGTAAAGCTTTTGATACTGTCAACCACCAAAACCTTCTTCTTAAATTACATCATTATGGAGTCAGAGGACACTCCCTACAATACCTCAAATCCTACCTTACTGACAGGCTCCAATATGTTTCTGTGAATAACACAATTTCTCCCACCCTACCCATCAACATTGGTGTTCCCCAGGGCAGCATACTTGGTCCTCTCCTCTTTCTCATCTACATTAATGACCTTCCAAATGCCTCCCAACACCTCAAACCAATTCTATTTGCTGACGACACAACCTTCATTTACTCCAGTCCTGATCCCCTTGCTCTAAATGCCACAGTAAATACTGAGCTAAATAAAGTCCATCTGTAGCTAACTGCCAACAAACTCACCCTTAACATTGACAAAACTTTCTATATTCTGTTTGGCAATAAATCCTCTAATCAAATAAATCTCAAAATAAACAATACCCAAATTTGTAACAAATTAGATGGCAAATTCCTTGGCATTCTCATTGACCACAAGCTGAATTTCCAGGGACACATTCTAAACATATCAAAAAAAGTTTCAAAAACTGTGGGCATTCTTTCTAAGATCAGATATTATGTACCACGCCCTGCCCTGGTGACTCTCTATTACTCCCTTATCTATCCATATCTCAACTATGGTATTTGTGCTTGGGGCTCTACTACCCAAAATCACTTACGTCCTCTAATTACTCAACACAAAGCTGCTATTAGGACAATATCCAATTCTGGCCCCAGACATCACTCGGTACCCCTACTCAAATCTCTGAATATGTTAGACATTAAGGCACTGCACATTCTCTCATGTGTATTATACATATATAAAACGCTAAACTATAATGCCAATCCTGATCTCAACAGCTTCATAGAAGGTTGTAACAGAACCCATGAGCACCACACCAGAAATAAATACAGTTTTGATATTCCTAGAGTACGACTTAATCAAACCAGAAATGCTCTACTAATCAAGGGGCCCAGAATGTGGAATGACCTTCCCAACCATGTTAAAGACTGTACCTCTCTCAACCAGTTTAAGTTAAAAACGAAGCTATACCTAATAAATTCCCTGTAACCTACCTTACCCTTCTATTGTCAACCAATGTCTGTTTTTCTTTAAAGAGCGCTGTTTGTCGACATATTTGTATTTGTGCTGCTTTTTCATCTATGTTTTCATTTCTTGTTTTCATTCTACTCATTATGCTCAATTAGTATTAAGCTTGTCATTTAAGTTTATCATGCCCGAAACGCTTTGCGTAATAGTGGCTTTAGGCATTGTATGTACTACCTCTACCTATAAGTCAACCAATCTTTGTAAAAATTTATTGTATGTATGTACCTTACCTAAATAAACATTTTATTTTATTTTATTTTATTTTTATTTTATTTTAAATGAGTGTGTGAGGCACTAAATGAGTGTGTGAGGTGCTAGATGAGTGTGTGAGGCGCTAGATGAGTGTGTGAGGTGCTAGATGAGTGTGTGAGGCGCTAGATGAGTGTGTGAGGTGCTAGATGAGTGTGTGAGGTGCTAGATGAGTGTGTGAGGTGCTAGATGAGTGTGTGAGGTGCTAGATGAGTGTGTGAGGTGCTAGATGAGTGTGTGAGGCGCTAGATGAGTGTGTGAGGCGCTAGATGAGTGTGTGAGGTGCTAGATGAGTGTGTGAGGTGCTAGATGAGTGTGTGAGGTGCTAGATGAGTGTGTGAGGTGCTAGATGAGTGTGTGAGGTGCTAGATGAGTGTGTGAGGTGCTAGATGAGTGTGTGAGGCGCTAGATGAGTGTGTGAGGTGCTAGATGAGTGTGTGAGGTGCTAGATGAGTGTGTGAGGCGCTAGATGAGTGTGTGAGGTGCTAGATGAGTGTGTGAGGTGCTAGATGAGTGTGTGAGGTGCTAGATGAGTGTGTGAGGTGCTAGATGAGTGTGTGAGGTGCTAGATGAGTGTGTGAGGCGCTAGATGAGTGTGTGAGGTGCTAGATGAGTGTGTGAGGTGCTAGATGAGTGTGTGAGGTGCTAGATGAGTGTGTGAGGCGCTAGATGAGTGTGTGAGGTGCTAGATGAGTGTGTGAGGCGCTAGATGAGTGTGTGAGGTGCTAGATGAGTGTGTGAGGTGCTAGATGAGTGTGTGAGGTGCTAGATGAGTGTGTGAGGTGCTAGATGAGTGTGTGAGGCGCTAGATGAGTGTGTGAGGTGCTAGATGAGTGTGTGAGGTGCTAGATATTTTCAAACAATACTGTTTGTTGACCAAGCTGTAAAATTGCTGATTTCTGCCATGTTCCCCAACTTTTTTTTCCTTTTTTACTCAATTTATTCTTTAATAAAAAATCTCAATTAGTATTAAGCTTTAGTCTAAGTGTTTTTCCCCACACCTTGCGTATTAATGGCTTTAGGTGTTGTATGTGTATGTACTTTTACCCGAATAAACATTTTTTTTTAGAGGAGTGTGTGAGGGGACGGTGTTGTGCGAGGCAGCGAGGGGCGCCCCGGACAGTAAGCGACCGTCCTGTGTGTGTGTCTCCCACCTCCTGCCGCTCTCCCAATTATGCCCTGATTTTTAGGGCTTTAAGGTCTGTTTTCTTCCACTTGCCAGGACTCGGGGCCGTTCGTAGGGCCCCCGTGGGATAGTTAGGTCCGCTGATGGCGCGCCTAGAGCGTGGGGAGGCGGGTTGATCGGGTACAAGTGTGTTGTTTTTTTCATATTGACTTTTTCGACAGGTGGGTTATGGGCGAGTTGTGTGTTATTTGGCGGGTGTGGAATGTGTGGGTGGAGGTGGGAGGCAGGCCTGGGCGAGGAGGTGTCAGGAGGGGCGGCTAGTCTTGGGGTGGGGGGGGAACCTTAGAGGTAGGGATTAGGTGACAGTGTTGACAAGACCCCATAGTCCCAGCTGGCTGGCCTTGGACCCAGCTTACTACCCCAATACACTTGACCTGTGACCCTTGGGATGACTGGGCCTCTCATGAAGGGCAAAAGTTGCAGACCTTCTGCAAGCGAAGATTATTTGTCCGGACTGGGACTTTGAGCGTCCCAGTCTGTACGCGTCATGTTTGTGCATTCTGGGCAGGGCAACAGTCGTATTCCTTGGGACGTGCTCACTACCGTCAAGCCATCTTGGAGATGCGTAGACTAATATGATCAAATTTTTAGATTCCAGCGCAGAGTTACAGACTACCTCTTCTTCCCACTAGAAATTGTTTTGCAATCTTAATATTCAATGGTGTTTTATCTATTGATGTAAGAATATCTTGGTAGAATGTGTGTTGTCGTAGTCAGCTTTGTGATGTCACGTGTGCAGCATAGTCATTATGAGTCCTTCACTAATTTTGGTCCATTCTAATTTATAGAGCCTATCTAGGCCTACATTGACATGTGGTACAATTTGTAATTGTAATTTCTGTTTCTCACTCTCACGTTCTCGATTTCTCATTCATTACACAAACAGCACTTTGACGTAAAAAAATCTCCCAACATCACAGCAGGATGTACCAATGATCATTGTGGTGGGCGAAATTTATGTAAGGTCCCATTTTTTTATTAGTGGGTCCTCGATTAGGTTAGGTTTCGACAATTTAGTACATTATCTTAGTGACGTGAACGCTTGAGAGAACGGGCTGATATCTTGTTATTAGACAAAACAGCTGAACATGGGATGGTTGATATTAACAAACAAACAATGACAATAACAAACTCTGCTTTCAGACAATGCTCAGCCCTCCCCCCCCCTGTTTAAATACCTAAACATGCTATACATAAACTCACTCCACACATTCTTATGTGCCATTTACATTTACAAAACCCTGTTCTTAAATGCAAATCCGGTTCTGAAACTCTTCCTTGACAGATGTAATAAAACCATAATCACCACACTAGAAATATATATCTCTTTGATATCCCCAGAGTCAAACTTAATCTGTGTAAACACTCTATGCAAATAAAGGGACCTGGTCTATGGAACTTACTCCCTAATGAATTGAAAAGCTGTCCAACTTTTGCCTTATTCAAAAATAAAACCAAAAAGTACCCAATTTCATCTTCGTAGTTTCCTACCTAGTGCTTTAAACTCGCACTGTATCTTGTGCTATCCACTCCCCCAATGTGTGTGCCTAAGCCATACAATTTCACCATTGTAATCATTGCTGTCATCTATATCATGATTGTTATATTGAATGCATATTTTACTGCATTATACCTTGAAATAATCCTCAAATTATGCTACAATGTACCTGATGATAACCCTCAAATTTTATTTTAATATTCCTACTGATCTTTGTCAAATTTTCTTACACTGTACCTGTTAACATTTTTTAAATTTTGCTAAAAATTACCTATTAAACATTATCTGTTAGATTAAGGACCTGCCTGAAACGCTACGCGTGTTAGTGGCTTTATAATAATAATAATAATAATAATAATAATTTATTTAGGAACAGTACATACATAGTTGCAGCGTTACAGTACAAACATCCTGTTAGATTTATAGAGGTAGTACATACAATACCTAAAGCCACTAGTACGCATAGCGTTTCGGGCAAGGAGTGTTTACAAGAAGTGTAAAAAGAGTTACAAGAGTGTAAAAACATTAATGCTATACACTCTCATAAACCTAATGTACCTTCTTGTATATAAATAATTAAATAAATAAATATATAAAATATTTATTTATCAGCATATTTAGGCATAATTATTGTTGGTCTGCCATATTGATTTGTGCTATAGACCCAGAGCTAGCTGGTGTTGTACAGACTTAAGGTCTACAGTACAGCTTCTCACATTTTACCAAGCATACAATTTGAAGTGACTATAGCAAACCAGAAGCTTTGACCCTAGGCAGCCCACCTAAGCTATTGAGGTTGATGCTCGTATGTCTTTCAGAAAGCATTGGTGGTCTATTGCGGTGCTTTTAATTTGACTAAAACACTGGACTTTTTATTTTGTTAACGTCAAAAATTGAAATGCACCATGTGTGAGATCGGGTTGCACGTGTTCCCATACCCTCTTATTGTGGATTAAGTTCTGTTGATGAAATATTGACAACACTGCACCAAATGCAGAGCAGGGACCTCATTCTCCACAACTTGTGTAGTATAGGGTATGCTCTGCATTGTACCTGGATGGGGTTCTGGGAGTTCTTCTACTCCCCAAGCCCAGCCCGGGGCCAGGCTTGACGTGTGAGATCTTGGTCCAGCAGGCTGTTGCTTGGAGCAGCCTGCAGGCCCACATATCCACCACAGCCCGGTTGATCTGGCACTTCATGAAAACTACAGTATCTAGTTTTCTCTTGATGTTGGCAGTTGTTCCGGCAATATTTCTTACATTTGCTGGGAGGGTGTTGAACAACGGCGGACCTCTGATGTTTATACAGTGTTCTCTGATTGTGCCTATGGCACCCCTGCTCTTCACTGGTTCTATTCTGCAATTTCTTCCATATTGTTCACTCCAGTACGTTGTTATTTTACTGTGTAGATTTGGCACTTGGCCCTCCAGTATCTTCCATGTGGATATTATTTATTATCTCTCGTTCTCATAATCCAACCTATAATTTTTCTGGCTTATGCAATATTTGCTTGGTTATGCTCCCTAAATGTTAAGCTATCAGACATTGTTATTCCCAGATCCTTTATATGCTGCTTTCCTACTATGGGCAGACTTGATTGTGTTTTGTACCCTGTATTTTGTTTAAGGTCCTCATTTTTATCGTACCCGAGTACTGTACTTGGATTATAAGTACAGTATTGTAAGAATAATTGGATTATATTTTCCAAAACAAACAAGATCAATTTTAAGGATAATCCATAAAGGTTCGGTATAGTACAGTAATTTGTTTTTGAAGGGGGTAGCTTATCTAGGATAAATTTAAGAAAACGACTGGCTCCTTATAGAGTACAGTACTTCATGATGTACAGTTGTGGCCTTTGTAAAAGTACAGTTGCAGTTGTATTGACTAGTCATTCTTGTACATAATCTGAAGTTGTTTAACACGCCACTGTCATTTTCAGAATGGAAGAGCGGCGTGTGGCAGATTATTTTGTGGTGGCAGGACTACCAGAAAAGCTACTGCCACTTGCCGACTTCTCATGTGATGGTGCCACGCTCAAGTCAACACACAACCTGCCGCCCATCACTGACATTGCCGTAATCAACCGCTCTCTAGGAGAAATAGTGCCAGATGGTAAACTTGAACATTTTGTCCGGCCTCAATGGCTGGTGGGGGGGGGGGGAGTTAATACTTGTTTGGTGACCTTTAACCTATTTGAAAGTGATAATTGTTAGTTGATAATGAGTATTTATTTAGTTGGCTTACTGTCTCTACCACAGGCTGACATACAAGTAGTTTTGGTCACTAGGACACTTGTACCAGCTGTCAGACAAGCCGGCATATACCTGTATCTGCTGTTAGACAAGGAAGAGTACACTTGCACTAGCTGTCAGATGAGGAGGAGTATCCTTGCACCAGCTGTCAGATGGGGAGGAGTATCCTTGCACCAGCTGTCAGATGGGGAGGATTACCCTTGCACCAGCTGTCAGATGGGGAGGATTACCCTTGCACCAGCTATCAGATGGGGAGGATTACCCTTGCACCAGCTATCAGATGGGGAGGATTACCCTTGCACCAGCTATCAGATGGGGAGGATTACCCTTGCACCAGCTATCAGATGGGGAGGATTACCCTTGCACCAGCTGTCAAACAAGCAAAGAATGCAATTGTGTACAGTCTGACCTGACAAATAAGAGTGCAATTACAGCCATTTTTGTATATAATATTTACCAATGGCATTTCTTAGCAGAATAAAAAAAAAAAATTGAGGCTAGTATAATCTTTAAACCAAAAGCATCTTGTTTTCAGCTGCCTTGTGTATTGTTGTTGTTGTTGACTTTTAGAATGCAATATGTCGAGCTTAGTCGGGATTTAATAAACTTTTGATCATTTGTTACAGGATTCACTTGTATAGAGATAACACCAACTGGTCTCGTGGCTAACCTGAATTATGGAGCGCTTCGTGCTCCGGAAATGTTCCTCTGTTATAGACGAGGGCGCGACAAGCAGCCACTGGTGGACATTGGGTGAGAGGCCAAAGGGATTTTATGTAGATTGAAAGTTGAAGTATTGATATTATTACACAATATTGGTAAACTTTGTTTACCTCTTAAGATTAAAGAATGTCATGAGTGACGGAAGGGCAGATCTGTTATATGGTGCAGTCATACATGGCATGAATCCATGTCAATTATGACAGTCATTAACCCTCAAACCGCTAAGGGCTTTTTGGCCTGCAACACTGCGAGGCGCAACAAAAAATAAAATTCCCCAACATTATTTTGTCTTATAAAAGTGTTCATTTGTGTTCCCTGATCATGGGAAAAAGGATAAAAAAAATCATAGATACATATTTTGGCCGCAATAGGGTGGGGAAGTCTGGCAAAAAGAGGCGTTGACAGAGCAAGCGTCTGAGGCGTTCTGCTCTGCCCCAGCTGTCAGGTAGGAGTTGCCACAAAGATATTATTACCTAATTATTTCAATGTTTCTGAATTATTTTTTTCTTAGTTTTTGCAGTAATATTATTCAATAGTGTGTAATGTGATATATAATAAAATGTGTGAACCATCGCTATACTGTACTCAAAATTATGATGTGCATATTAGTGATTCAATTTTTGTGTTCATAAAACAATAAACAAATAGTTTTGTTGTTATTACACTATATACACAGGTTATATGCAAGTATCTGCATATTTTGGTCACCATAATGAACCACTAAGTTGGTATTGTGAGTCAAAAGGCAACGAGGAGTGGCCGCCACACCAGCCAGCCAACCACTGGCCGCCACTCCCTTCCTCACTTCACCTCACTCGCCCACATTCTCCTCCCACCATACTGTTGCTGCTTTTATTCACTATATACAGACATTATATATAAGTATCTACATGTTTTGTTCACTTTAACTGTGCATCTAAGCTGTTATGGTGAGTTCAGGCAATAACAGAAGTCACCACACAGTCAGCTAATGCTCCCTCTCCTCCCTCCCTCACTCATTCAAGGCCAAACACACTAACATTCCTCCTCCAACCATACTATTTGTGGTGTTATTATGCTATATACACACATTATATACATAGGTATCAACATGTTTTATTCACCATAACTGTACAACTAAGCTGATATGGTGCCCAAACTGCATAGTGGCCATCATACACTGCATGACAAGTCATGCAAACGATGCCACCTCCCTCACCAAAATGGTCCTTCCAACATACTCCTTTTGCTGTTATTACACTATATATACACACATTATATACAAATACAGTGACACCTTGGCTTACGAATGCCTCTATTTACGAACTTTTCAGGTTACGAGCCCAATTTTTTCAGAAAATTTGAATTGGGTTACGAACTTTGCCTCGGGAAACGAGTTTGTTGATACACGTATGGCCGACCTAGCGTGTGGTGGCACTGCGATCGCTTACCAGTGCCTCCCGCCTAGTGACAATCGCCCCTGACTTCTTTGTAAAGAATTACAGTTTTTTCAGATTTTTGGGTACTTGAACATAAGTTATTATATATCTCGCCATGGGTCCCAAGAAAGCCAGTGGTCATCTTCAAGCAAAGAAAATATATGTGAGAGTGACCATAGAGGAAAAGCAAGAGATCATTCAAACGAGATCATTTTTTTTGTTGAAACGACTCGCCCAGAGCAAGCTGTAGTAGGCCGATGCATTAACCTTTTTAATGACAATGTGATGCCTCACTACAGACAAGTGTTACAACGCAAGGAAAAACAATCTTCTATGGATCGTTTTTTAGTGAGAAAATCAAGCAGTGAGCCACAAGCTGGTCCTAGTGGTATGCAGGCAAAATGTGCCAGAATGTGTATCCCAGAGAAGTCATCACTGCCTGATGTTATAATGGAAGGGGACTCCCCTTTCCAAACACTAACACCTCACCTCTCCTTCCCCCCCTCCTCACCGTCTTCAATACGCCAACAAGAGTCATCAGTAAAGGCAAGTAATAACTTGTATATACTTTAGTACTGAAGATTTGGGTGAATTGGTATAAAATTTACTTTGAAGTTAATTTTTTGGGGGAGTCGGGAACGGATTAATTCAATTTCCATTATTTCTTATGGGGGAAATTATCCTCAATCTCTGAGAACGGATTAAATTCATAAGCTGAGGTACAACTGTATCTACATTTATGTTCACCCTGAAGAACCACTAAGCTGGTATAGTGAGTCCAGACAGTAAAAGATGGCCACACAGAGTCAGCAGACAACACTACTTCCCTCCCCCACCAAGTTTACTCCTCCCACCACAGTGCAAATTATCACAATGATCCTGCTATTATCAGAATTCTGGCCATTTTTTATCAGTCAGGGGTCTTCTGTAATACTATCATCGCTAAATAATAGCATGGACATGTATATTTTGACATTTTTAGGCGATGCTGTGTTCACAAGCTGAACAGCAGTGCTGTTAGCTCATGCTGCATGCGCCAGCCTTGATTGCTCACTCGGTACTGAGGCTCTCATACCCAGATATGTTAGCGACGATTTTTTTTCGAGATGGCGTCTGTTTACTATCGGCCATAGCTGGACTATAGCTGCCCCTATCCCTCGCAGGGCACTTAAAATCGTGTGCTTGACCCTCAATCGTATATTTACGATGTGCGCCATTTCGTGACAGTTACTCTCATTGTATATGCCCGTATATGCCGTATATGTTTTCCTGCTCGAAACGCTTTGCGTAATAGTGGTTTTAGGCATTGTATGTACTAGCTCTATCTATAAATCCATCAATGTTTGTATCACACCTTGTATGTATGTACTTTACCTGAATAAACATTTGAATTTGAATATGTATGTATTGTGCGGTTTAAGGGTTAAGGAATAATACAAAATCATGAAGCTCTCTGTGGAGTTTTTTGTAGCAGTTGTAAGTAAAGTTATGATTAAATTGAAAATATAATATATTTTATTCCTGAAGTACCATTGATTTTGTATTCCAGAGTACTGTACGAGGGTCGGGAGCGTGTAATGGCAGACTCGCAGGTTGTGGAATTTACGCATGGGGGACGCAGTGCAAATATCAACCCTTCCGGCCAAACCACGTACATGACATATAGGTAAACTTGTCACACTTTTTTCTCTCTCTAGGAATATGCATTGGATTGTATTTTATGTCCAAATCTACTGCTCACATTTGTGTGTTAGTTGATCTCCATCCTGGTCTTTATTAACCACGTATTACTACCGCATTTATCGGCAAAATATCAGAGTAGTAACCCAACTGACATACAGTATATGAAAAGAAAAGTGACAAGGTCTCGGTCCATCCTGGACTCGTCTTGGTCTGCCTTTGACCTTATAAAAGTCCAGGATGGACTGAAACCTCATCACTTTCCCTTTTACATGTATTGGGCTACTAATTTTCAGTCACGTTATTATGACATTCTCTGCAATAACAAAAGTGTGAGAGGCTGCATTAAACTACCATAATAAATGGTATGCCTTTGGATGTCTTGGTTGGGGGGGGGGGCTTGAAAGAAGACAAATTGCATATGTGCAATAACACCATATAAATTAAAACTTTGGTAATGATTGCAGGAAATATATAAGAATTATAAATAAAAAGTATGTATAGAGAACATTAGTTTGAACTTTGGGGTCATGTCTTCACTGCTTGTCTCTGTTCACCCAGCAGTAATTGAGGATCTGAATTAGCCAAGTAATTACCTCAGTGTAGTTACAGGATGAGAGCTACACTCGTAATATCTCGTCTTCCAGTACTTTCATATAAAACTGCTATACTTTGAAACTACTCATGGTTTTGGCCTCCACAATTTTCTCACTCACTTGACTTGTTCCAACCATCTACCACACTGTTTGCATAATAGAATTTTCAAATATTTTCTGGGGGGAGCCCCTTCGGCTCCTTGGAGCTATCCAGGCTGATATGCTAATGTCAGACTTTGGCATCAGTCATGTGTATGGAGTTCTGTGGGCCTACCGGGGACCACGAGCCAGAACCTGGCCTGCTCAGAGAGGCATGGGGAGCAATGGCCTATAGAAATCCCCGTGTGGTTGGAAGCATTCTATGTCTGCCATCGACCTGGTCAGGCACCCAGAATGGTAAGCGTCCCAAAACAAACCCCTATTCTGGTGAAAATTGCTACAAAAAGCCGAATAAGTGGATAGAACTCCCAAAAAGAAACGAGCAAACGAGCATGATGTCACACGTCGCCTCGCCGCTGTCTGCACAGCTCCCCCCTCCCCGGGAGGAGGAAGGGTAGCCCCAGACCCCCCACGCCTGCTATCCACCCTTCAGTTCTGAGGTTGATGCTATAGGCAACGGTCATGTGCTCTGGCTCCAGTGGTTGTTTCAGTGCTGTACCTTGTGTGTGGTGACTGTCTTCTAGGTGGTGCGTGAGCCGGGAGTGATTCTTCAGTACTTGGCCTACATGTGCCTAGGGTTTCCTTCCCTAGGTGCCCTGTAAGTACTGCTCTTAGGGCTTGAGGCCACCTTCGACAAGTTCCTTGGGTTCTGCCTTTGCTAGGTCGTTTACTGCTTGGTTTTCGGCCACCCTTTGTGTGCTAGGGTGTTCTGTCTCCCTTGTTCGCCTTAAGGTAGGGGCAGTTTGCACTGGTAGGGGCGCAGGGTACTGCACAGCTTGTTTTCACCAATCATAGCGGCCGGCTCTGTTCCACCTGGGTGCGCTGTCCTCTTGTGAAGTTTTTTCTTTTTGTTTGCGTGCCTGGTGGGGGATGGGGGGGTCTGCCTTGGTTATTACCCCCTGTGTACTGAGTACTCCTCCATCTTCCAGTGGTTCCCTCTGCTAGGACCCCGTGAGTGTACACGTCCCAGGGGTTCAGCTCTTAGAAGGTTATTTAGTATACTTGGGCGCCGGTTAGCAGTACCCCTGCCTGGGTTAACTGGGCGTTAGTTACGTTAAACGCTCGGAACCCTGGGAGTCCCCTTGGGGATGAGTGGGTCTGATGGATATGTCCCCGGATTCCCCCCCCCCCTCGCTTTGTGCGAGTTTGAGGGTTGCTCGGTCCCCTTGACTCAGGGTGACCCTCGCGGTTTTTGCCTCCGTCTGCTGCCCGTGGGGTCGGTGGCATCTTTGACCCGGAGTCCTGCAAGTTTTGTTGCTTGTTTGTGACTCGGTTACCCAGTCTTATGCTGACTATGAGGGTGCAGGCAGCACGGGTATTGCACGTTGGGTTCAGGTGGTTGCAACGCGCTAGGTTGTTTGCTCCCTAGTTGTCCTCTTCTCGTTGTGCTTGTGGGGGTTGAGCTTTAGCTCTTTGATCCCGCCTCTCCACTGTCTATCAAATGAAATCGCCATGGCCTCTGTGTGTTGTTGGTCATGTCCCTTTGATTCCCTTTGCTGCCTGTCTTCCTCGTTCCTCATCTTCCTTCTACACTCTTGTCCCTAGCTGCTGGTGCTGGGGTTGTTTTTCTGGTCTTTTCTTGCCTTTTTCCATTATTTCATTCTCCTACATATTGTTGTGTGTTTTAGTATGTGCTTCTTGGTTCTCCTACTGCTAGGTTGGACTTTGTCCAAGTTCAGTTCCCTGCTTTTGCACCGCCCGTGTTTGGTTCTTTCTCGGCTTGCTGGATTTGGGTTCCTGGTTTCCTGGCTTACCCTGCCAGTTGGCATTTTCAAGATCTCGCAGTGTCACTTCTCAAGAATTTCGCACCGGAACCACAGTGTCTCCGATCTCCTGGCGAGCTTGGGAAATTGGAACACATTGGGAAGTTTTCTGTATGGCAGACGTTCCATCTGGTTCCTTGCCGGCTTGGGTTTCCAGCTCTGCTTCCTTGGTGATCGCACCCGAGGTTTTCCCGCGGCTCCACCTCTTCCTATGCTCAATCGGTCTATGGCGGGGCTGGTTCGTTTCTGCCTCGAGTCTCTCGCTGTCTGTTGGTGATCAGGTGGCTTCGTTGATGGTGTCCCACCTGCGTGCTTCATCTTGGTGGCAGTGTGGGGTTTTGTGGCGGTTCTTCGTTTTTCTTTCTGTCCCTTCGTAGGTTTGCTGTATATTGTTGGCATGGTTTTGTCCCCCTTTTGTGGAGGTTCAGGGCCGTCATCTTGCCACATTCTGTTGCCTTGTCTCGTGAGGCGCTGGCAGAGCTGCTCCGGGTTGCTTCGGTTTTGGAAGTTATCTCTGCACCACTTCGCGAGCCGTCTCTGGCGTGGTTCATCTCTGGCCTGCTCTTGCGCCAAACTGGTTCTTGGATTGCTTGCTCTCTTCTCTTCTCCTTGGTTTGTTGTGGCCCCTTTGGTTCTGGATTGTTTTCCAGGGCTCTTTTCTTATTGCCGTTGGCCTCTGGGTGACGGGCTGGGGTGCTTCCTGCCCTCCTCCGGCACCTGGGTTTTGGCTCTTTTGGTTCTCCTGATAGGTTTGTTCACTTGCAGCTGTCTCCTTTTCTGGTGAAGACTGGCATGGCTGCTTTCCGGAGGGGTCCTTTGGTTGTTGATGCTTGGTTGGTCTGGCCGGGGGTGCATCGTGTGTTGTGATCGGTTGCGGCACTTTGGCGTGCTTGGCGTGCCACGGCTGTCATGACCGGGGTCAGGCTTTGGGTGTTTCTGGGTTCCCTTCTTCCCTGTTCCAGGGTGCGGTTCTCTCGAGTCATCCGCGGGGTGGTTCGGTCCTGCCAGCCTGTTGTCTGTCCCCGTGCCCTAGTTGTTAGTAGGTTTGCTCTGTGTTCCTTCATTGCTGTTCCTGGGCCTTGTTGGGCCTGTGTGGCCTGGGGTTGGCAGTTGGGGTTTGTTTCCGCTTCGCGTTTGGGAGTGTGCGACTTCTGCCTCCCAGGTTAGGTCCCTCTTGTTTTCCTCTCTGTGGACTCTGTTGGACTCTGTGGGTAGTTAGCTCCGGGAGGAGTCGAAAGTGCTCTCCTCAGAAAACCAGTATTGAATGTCCATCTGTCCTTAATGAAACACCATTTTCTGGGCGAGAACTGGAGGCTCCCGGCATCCCTCCCTTCCTCTGGTCAGCAGTTTTTCGCGTGTTTTGATGTCCAGCCTCAGAACTGAAGTGTGGATGGCCAGCGTGGGGGTCTGGGACTCATCCTTCCCCTCCCGGGGAGGGGGAGCTGTGCAGACAGAGGCACAGCAACGTGTGATGTAATGATCGTTTGCTCGTTTTTTTTTCTGGGAGTTCTATCCACTTGTTTGGCTTTTTGTAGCAATTTTCACCAGAATAAGGGTTTGTTTTGGGACGCTTACCTTTTTGGGTGCCCTGACCCGGTTGATGGCAGACATAGAATGCTTCCAACCACACGGGAGTTGTCATTGCTCCCCATGCCTCTCTGAGGGGGGCCAGGTTCTGGCTCGTGATCCCCAGTAGGCCCACGGAACTCCATACACATGACTGATGCCAAAGTCTGACATTAGCATATCAGCCTGGATACCTCCGGGGAGCCTCTGGGTCTCGCCCAGAAAATGACGTTTCATTACATTCATTGCTGGTTTTTTCTGCATCTTATTTTTTACTCCAGCTTGAAATGTACTCCAGCTTTTGACTTGGCTGGTATACTTGATGGTTTAATGATAGGTTTAATGAATTTGAGAGTTTATTGGAAAGGTAGTGAAGTTTGTGTTGGTTTTGTTGAATGGCTCAATGGAATGCTCAATGAAACCTCAAGTACTTGATGAATCTATGAATAAATATTTAGGCTGTACGAGGAAATTGAACACATCCATTCCACTCTTGGCTCCACCATCCCATCCACTAATGGCATGAACATGTTAAAGAGAAAAGCTACAATATGATGTCACTAGATGATTACCATTACATCTCCAGTTAGAATATACATGAATTTTTAAATTAAGTAATAAATATTGAGGCCTGAACACCAGTTGATTGACAATTGAGAGGAGGGACCAAAGAGCCAAAGCTCGACCCCTGCAAGCACAGCTATGTGAGTACACACACAGTGAGTACACAGTAGGGGCCTGGTAGCCTGGTGGATAGCGCGCAGGACTCGTAATTCTGTGGCGTGGTTCAATTCCCGCACCCGGCAGAAACAAATGGGCAAAGTTTCTTTCACCCTGAATGCCCCTGTCACCTAGCAGTAAATAGGTACCTGGGAGTTAGTCAGCTGTCATGAGCTGCTTCCTGGGGGTGGGGGGTGGAAAAAAAAAATAGTTAGTAAACAGTCGATTGACAGTTGAGAGGCGGGCCAAAAGAGCAAAGCTCAAGCCCCGCAAACACAACTAGGTGAATACACCCCTGACCTCCACCAGGCACGTGCACATGGTCTGGTCAGTGGTGCCTGGGAGGAATACAGGATACAGGAATGCAGGTTCAATTCAATTGTATGGCCTCGACATTTATTCCTTAATGGAATAATTCGTGTACATTCTAACTGGAGACGTAACTGTAAATCATCTAGTGGTATCATATTGTAACATTTCTCTATAACATGTTTGTCATTACTCTTTATTTTGTGACTAAAAGTAGATTATGTTCTTAGCATTTTATTGAGGTCAGTCATTATAAATTCAGCAGTAGATGAATTTTATCATCATCCTTTATGTCATCAAGACAGCCTTTCAACTATTTTATTAAAGATTGTATATACTAGTGAGTACTGCATTTAAAATTGCATTTTAATATCTTGTGGTTGCAGGCGGGCGAGTGACAACGCTGCGTGCAATGAATTGGTGGTGTCCGATGTGTGTGTTATAATGACTAATCGAGGAGACCAAGCTCCTCACTCCTACTGCACCATCGACCGCAATCTCAATAAGGGAACAATGGTCAGTGACGCTCTATAGGCCTAGCTTATCCTCTCATTTAGCAAGCCATTGTTTTTTTCAACTGTACAAGAGAATTGTCCCTGCATTATCTTTTTATTAGATTCTAAACATGTTTATACCTTTGCCTGTCTTCAGGTGTGGGATGTGGTGTTGGTGCTCACATAAATGGCAATGTTTTAGTTTGATCACGAATATGTAGTTATATTTATTTAGTTGACTATATCTGGAAAGTAAATATCTAGGCACTAATATAAATGTAAGTAATTTAGTCTTATTAAGAGATGTCAGTGTGAGCATGTAACAAAGTGAAGCAAAATCAATTTAGCAAGGTCTGATTATAAATTACTCCAATAAAGATTGAAGTTACATATATGTGAATAGGGAAATATATATTTAGATCTCCAAGTGCATGTAAACATAATTTGTTTTACACTGTGCAAGATTGTTTGTCAATGTTGCTTTGATGTTTGCATAGCCAGCTCCTGCATGGTTCACGCAGGACTCCTAGCACCAGCCAGCCTCGACTGGCTTTTATCCTCGTTGTGATGGGGATGTTTGCATAGCCAGCTCCTACATGGTTCACGCAGGACTCCTAGCACCGGCCAGCCTCGACTGGCTTTTGTCCTCGTTGTGATGGGGATGTTTGCATAGCCAGCTCCTACATGGTTCACGCAGGACTCCTAGCACCGGCCAGCCTCGACTGGCTTTTATCCTCGTTGTGATGGGGATGTTTGCATAGCCAGCTCCTGCATGGTTGACGCAGGACTCCTAGCACCGGCCAGCCTCGACTGGCTTTTATCCTCGTTGTGATGGGGATGTTTGCATAGCCAGCTCCTGCATGGTTCACGCAGGACTCCTAGCACCAGCCAGCCTCGACTGGCTTTTATCCTCATTGTGATGGGGATGTTTGCAAGTGGTCCTTCACATACCTAGTAAAAAACAGTCCGACTCGAAAACATTCGAGAGTACAAGCTCGCTATTATACAGTACTGTACAGTGCAATGGAATGAATGACAACTTGCAAACTCCTCCTACGAGCAAATACTAGAACTAGCCTACCAAGACTGCCAAATCTCACTCTGCAAACTGCACTTTGTAAATGAAAGGCTAGTGTTCTTTTGTGTCCAATTAAGTAGTTTTGTTTTGTTTTGGTTATTGTTGAGACTTGTTGGTGTTAGGTGGTAGGTCTTTATGGCTTTGTTTTGATTTTTCTGGTCAGCTGTCTGCAATGTTGGACTTTCTGTAAGGTTACTGGGTGATCCCTGGTTCCTTCATCTCCAGTTGTACAGTCTGCTTGTCTTGGTTTTGCCATTAGGCTCCACTTTCCTTAGGTCTTTGTACCATTTTGTTCTTGTGTATTTCTTCTTTATGCCTTACCCCTGTTTTTTGCTGGCTGACCATTGGTGGATTGGATGTTTTCCCTGGCCTTCAGTTAGCAGGGCTGATTTTCTGGGATATGGTTCAATTGTACTTCCTGCAGCGAGTTGGTGTCTGAACTTTTGTAACCCTGCGAAACATTGCCTTGTGGGGTTTGGCCTTTGTCACCGGAACCAACCAGTGGCTTTCTGCCTTTGCTTTCTCATTTTGGAGTGCATTTGCTTGTTTGGTTTCCTTGTGGTGTGTGGGTGGGTCTATATTGGTTGTCATTGGGGTTCACTTTCTCCGTACAACCTCTTCTTAGTGGCCAGTGCCTTCTAGTTGCATGGCCTTGTTTCCTTGACTTTCTCTGCCTTTTGTTTTTCATGAAGGGTGCGTAGTTGGGTCTGGTATGTTTCTTTGCTGTTTTCTGTAGTCAGCCTTCATGTGTTGGTTTGGTGCATGTTGTTTTAGAGCACTCTTGCCCTTTCCCTGGGTCTTTCCTGTTTTGGTGTGCTTGGTGCCTATGGGTTGGTGCACTACAGGTACGTTCTGTTTTTTTTATACATATATATATATCAGCCCGTCCTCCAAAAATGGGGTGGTAAATGTAAGGAGGCAAATAAGTGCAATTATGTACTATTCGTAGCAGTTAGGAATTGTACTTATTTTCACTCAGTATTAAATCGTACTGTCAAATATATTGTGAATATTTGAGTTTACCCGAAAAACTGAATAGAAAACCACAACCTCACCTAACCGTCTTAGTTTTTGAAGATAATAATTTTATTACTTCTTAATTACAATTAGTACTTAACCTATAGCTATATTGATATTACAGTTTTATTAAACTAATAAAACAAAACTAAAATATATCAATAAATTGTAAAGTAACTCAGGATATTTTAAAATTTTGTATAAAATCTATATTATTTAATAAATCTGAAAACGAAATTCCTGATATTTAAAACTTGTGTATTGCTAATTTAAGTTGAAACCGTCATCCTAAAATTCTGAGTGTCTTAACAGAAAACGAGAAAAATTAAATCGGGGGAGGGAGTTGGGTCAATGTAACAGCCCCATAAGTGCAATTATGCACTGCTTATGACAGTAAGAAAGTGTACTTATTACACTTAGTATTAAATCGTACTGTCAATTCGGAGGATGGGTTGCAACATATATATATATATATATATATATATACATATAAATATAAATATATATATATATATATATATATACATATAAATATAAATATATATATGTCGTACCTAGTAGCCAGAACTCACTTGTCAGCCTACTATGCAAGGCCCGATTTGCCTAATAAGCCAAGTTTTCATGAATTAATGTTTTTTCGACTACCTAACCTACCTAACCTAACCTAACCTAACTTTTTCGGCTACCTAACCTAACCTAACCTATAAAGATTGGTTAGATTAGGTTAGGTAGGGTTGGTTAGGTTCGGTCATATATCTTCGTTAATTTTAACTCCAATAAAATAAAATTGACCTCATACATAATGAAATGGGTAGTTTTATCATTTCATAAGAAAAAAATTAGAGAAAATATATTAATTCAGGAAAACTTGGCTTATTAGGCAAATTGGGCTTTGCATAGTAGGCTGAGAAGTGCGTTCTGGCTACTAGGTACGACATATATATATATATATATATATATATATATATATATATATATATATATATATATATATATATATATATATATAATATAATAAATAAAATCATACATACATACACCCTCTTTTTTTTTTTTCTGTGGAGAGACCCCTTCGGTGCCCCGGAGCTATACCGAGCTGATGTGTATATATTAGATTGTGGCAATAGTCAATCAAAGGAGTTCTAAGTCTACCAGGGACCTGAGCCAGAACCTGACCCCCTCAAGTGAGGCACAAAGAGCAATGGCCTAAAGACACCCCCGTGTAATTGGAAGCAGTCTTTGTCTGCCATCTACCAGGCCAGGTACCCAGAAAGGTAGGAATTTCATAACTACTGCTGGTCAAAATTTGCAAACCAAAAGCCGAAATAGCAAACAGAACTCCCCTGTCAAAAACAAGGAAACGGATATGATGTCACCACAATTGCTGTGCATCCGTCTCCGCAATCTCCCACCCCACCCCGGAGGGTGGGGGGGGGGGTGTCCCAGACCTCCACGCCGGCAACTCTCTTCAGTTCACAGGCTGTTGTGATGACAAACGGTCGATTGCTCTGGCTCCACTCTTTGCGCAGTGCTGCTTTGCGTTGTTGCTGCTCTGTTTTGGTGGTGTCAGGTGGTGCCAGGAGTAACACAAGAGTACTGGGGCTGCATGCACCTAGGGTTACCTTCCCTAGGTGCCCCTGTAAGTACTGCCTTTGCGGCCTCAGGGTTATCTTCCATGAGCCGTTCAGGAGCAGCTACATCTGTGTGGTTCTGTCACTGCTCAGTGATTGCCTGCCCTTGGGGTTCAGCTGGGGTGGTTCTTATTCCTGTTTGCCCTTGGGTAAGAGGTAGTTTTGTCGCTAACTGGGGGGCGAGGTACTGTGCAGTTGTCTGATTATAGCAACCGGTTCTGTTCACCTGGAGACGTTGTGCTTTTGCAGGGTTTTATTTTTGTTTTTGTCTTGATTTGCCTGGTGGGGATCTGCCTGGTGTGGTGATAGGATCACTTGTAGGATTTAGGTGGTCCTCCACTAGGTCCCCGTGCTTGCACATGTTGCAGGGGTTCAGCTTTTAGTTGTTTGCTTGGTAGCTCTGGGATAACCGGTTAGCAGTACCTCACCTGGGCTTCCCTTAGCAGTCAGCCTAAGGGCCCTGGGAACCCCCATTGGGGCTCAGTGGTCCAATGGAGGAGATTTCGGAGTCCCACCTCGCCTTGTGCAAGTTTGAAGGTTGCTCTGTCCCCTTGTCTCAGGGTGACAATCACCATCTGCCACCTCCTTGCTGCCTGTTGGGTCAGTGACACTATGACCTGGAGTCCTGCGAGTGGTGGTCTTTGCTTGTACTCTATTCACCCAGTCCACCGAGACTGATAATTGGGTGCAGGCAGCTTTAGCGTTGCATGCAATGTTTAGGTTGCAGCAACGAGAGAGGTTGGTTGCCTTTCCAGATGCTCCGCAGTTGCCTCGCTTGCTTATACTGGTAACAAGACTCGGGCGGCTTCAGGGATTGCCCCTTCCGGATTGGCGGCGGGGGCATTCAAGCCTGTTCCTCCTGTCAGAGCTTTTAGGCCACGCCAGCGGGCCCCCTTCATCCATGCGTTTCCAGTGGACTTGGTTTTTTCTGCAGAGGCAGAGGGTTTGGAGGACGGCTCGGCCTAGGGTCCTGACATGGAGGATTCCGGGGCTGGGGAGGAGTTGACTTTGGGGGGCCTGGATCCCACTTGTCCCTGCTTGGGTGTTTGGTACCCTTGGCACGGGGCTTATTGTTACAGGGGGAGGGGGTTTTCTTATCCCCTCCCTGTATGATTTTGTTATGAGTTCAACTCCTCCCCCGGGTTCGGTTCCGAGTTCCCTTGGGTTCTTTGGTTACCTCCTTCCGGAGGTGTTTGGCTTCCAGCATCCCACTAAGGAAGGTGTGGGAGGCCCTTGCGGCTTACCTCCTGCGAGACCCAGATTACGCCTCGATAATGAAGCCTTTTCTTTTTTTTTAGTTTGGCTCCTCTTTTTCCTTATTGGGTGCGTTACGAGGTGCCGGAGTCTTCCTGGCTGGCAGACTGCCTTTTCTTTGTTGGGGGTTTGGCATTCGTTCTGTTGGACCGCGCACTTGAATGGCGGGAGTTGACTGGGGTCATTCAGGTTTACCTGGGGAGGGGGTGAGTTGGAGCACCTCAATGCGTGCTTGTTTGCCCCCGCCCTTCCTTATGATGTCGACCAGGTGCGGCTTCAAGTGCAGGTTCCCTCCCTTTCGGCATACCTGGTGACCGAGGATTTGCGCACCTGTGGGCACTTGGCTTTGGTCTTGCGCTTGTTTTCTCTGCTGGAGCTGTCTTCAGGCTGGCTCGGGGTGGATGTGGAGGAGTTGGGTTCTAGGCCAGTGTCCAGTGTGCTTGCTTCGGCAGCTTGGGTGCTGGCTGCCTTGTTGAAGTTGTATGCTCCGTTTCTGAGGGAGGCGGTGTCTGTTCTTCGCTTCTCGCCTCGAGTGCTGACAGGCAGTGTTCGTCCATACTTTGGAATCGTCTTGGGCCCTGGCTCTTAAATTTTCATCCCCTTTTTGTCTGTTGCTGTTTGCAAAGTCTGCGGTGGTGCATTTTCTGCAGGCATCTTCGTCTAGTTGATGGCCTATGTTGGACTTGTAGGTTCTCCGAGGAGCAATGGAGGTCCTGCCCGGAAGGAAATTTTGGCCAAAAGTTTTGAAATTCCTACCTTTCTGGGTGCCTGACCTGGTAGATGGCATACAAAGACTGCTTCCAATTACACGGGGGTGTTTTTAGGCCATTGCTTCTCGTGCCTTTCTTTAGGGGGCCAGGTTCTGGCTCTGGTACCCGGTAGGCTTTAGAACTCCTTCGATTGACTGTTGCCACGGTCTAATATATACACATCAGCCCGGTATAGCTCCAGGGAGCCTCCGGGTCTCGCCCAGAAAACGGCATTTCATTACTTTCAATGCTGGTTTTTTCTCTCCAATCTCAATGTTGCTGAGTAAGGTTCATTGTTTTGTATACATTCCCAGTTTCTTCACCAAGCAAGGGGTTTTCCTCACTAGCAGGCCATGTTACTTAACCATTCGTCTCTCTTGACCCATTTGGTGCAGTGCTGGCTTGTTCATTTTACTGCCGGTATGGAGGTCTCCGGGCAAGTTGCTCTATTTCATTTTTTTTATTTTGAGGCTTTGCTATATTGTAAGGAGTTAGCAATGGGAGCATCCGAGTGGTATTTGTTCAGATGTAGAAAACAAAGGTGAGTGAAGCGCTCCTTTCTTGAGACTGAATCCCACATGTTTCCATTCTTGCCATTGTTGTCCCTTCTTCTTTAAGTATACTTGGGTGCAATGGGCCGGGCCTCATCAGGCACTCAACTGTCCACTTTTGATGCCTGTACTACTTTGCTTGATCATTGCAGCTTGGCCTGTGTTTATTAAACAGTTTACATTGTTTGAAACTTTGTAACCTAAGATTATCATTGTTACTGATAACTTTGTAGCCCTCTCGAGTTCATAAATTATTTAACAATATAAAGTAAGCCACCATGATTGAGAAAAGATGTACAGGTGTCATGGGTGGACACGTAAATGCTTGGTATAATCCTGGCTTTGAACGTAAAGTGAGAGTAGCTTGTTATAGTGATGGTGGTGACATTGGGTGGCACTGTGGCTTGTAGTACTGTAGTTTGGCAGAGATAATTGGCAGTCTTGGTAGTGTTTATCCATTGATGAGTTTAAGAGTTGTTCTACTTGTGCAGCCTGTCATGTGGCCAGCCATCACTGTACATGTGTAATTTTTGCTTGCACAAGGAAGTGTGTCATGATTCACTACTTGTATTATAGTAAGCTGGTACCCTCAGTGGTGGCTAGAGTTGGGTCCATTATTGATGCCTTTCTCTAAAATGTGATGGGGATCATCTGTAAATATTACGTCACATTGGGAATAAATGTCAAGAGAGCCTGAAGAATAATATTTTCTGGGTGTACCATTTATGAACTTGCTTTTGAAACTAGCACTTCACTAGGCTCAATTTTCTGTTTAATGATACTTGGTGATCCCTTGAAAATTGTTTGCTCTTTGATGGATATTACTATATTTTTACATTTTCAATAGCTACTGAAACCTTTGTTTGCAGGTTGGGTCAGACATCTATGTTTGCTACAAAAAATCTATGAATCGGTCGAATTACATAGCGTACATGGCTGGTGTGCTCGACTACTTCCCATTTCTCCAACGTCCCGATTTCCCCATCCCAACGGATTTGGCACTCTTTTGCCTTCCCATGGGAGCCACGCTGGAGTCGTGGCCTGCGCGTGCCATCAAGCCCCAGCCTGTCTTCTCCACCTTTGTGCTGACGGTCACCGCAGGAGAGGGAAACGCCGAAGCTGTGGAAAAAGTGTATGGGGCAGCAGTGACTTTTTATGAAAAATACCCTCATGGGCATTTGTCTCAGGAACAGAGAGAAACCCTTAAATTAAATGAACATTTTGGGAGACACAATGTTGTCCACACCAATAAGTGCATCTGCATACTTTCCCGCTGGCCTTTTTTTGATACGTTTGACAAATTATTAAGATATCTTCATAATATGGCTAACTCAGGACCACACACAGTACCCATAGAGAGGTAAGTTTCATCATTTTGATTCTCCAGTTCTATGCATGATCAGATCGTAAAAACTTTGTTACTATCACGCAGCTGTATTAGTGTTTATCTCATAAATTCATTCATGATAGACTAACACAAGATAAAATTAGGACAGAGTGAACATTTTGATACCTTTTTTTTTTTTTTTACACAGGCCTTCTCTTACCCTAACTCAACATGCAGGTCTTTTATAGGCCTTGTCACGTAACTTATTTTTTCTGAGGGAAGCCCCGTCAGCTCCCTGGAGTTATCCAGGCTGAATGGATATGTATAACTTTCTGGCATTGGTCAATGTGCACAGAGTTCTTGCCTACCGGGGACCATGAGCCAGAACCTGGCCCCCCCCCCCCTCAAGAGAGGCACGAGGAGCAATGGCCTATAGAAACCCCTGTGTGGTTGGGAGCATTCTATGTCTGCCATCGACCAGATCTGGCACTGAGAAAGGTAGGTGCCCCAAAACAAACCCCTATTCTGGTAAAACTATTGCTACTGAAAGCCGAACGAGTGGACAGATCTACCCAAACAAAAATTAGCTAACGAGCATGACATCATCACGTCGCCGCGCCACTGTCTGCGCACCCCCCCTTCCTTCCCGAAAGGGGGAGCCACAGACCCCTTCACCGGTGATCTACCCTTCAGTTCTCAGGCTGATGTGCTACTGGCGTGGTCTTGTGCCTCTGGCTCCAGCAATTTGTCTCAGTTTCTGTGCCTTGTGGCATGGACTGTCTCTACTGGTGGTGTGGGAGCCAGGATTAATATTCTTCGGTACTCGGGCTGCATGCGCCTAGGGCCACCTTGCCTAGGTGCCCTGAAAGTACTACCCTTGGGGTCGCCTTCCACAAGTCACCTCGGGATCTACCCCAGCTGTGTCTTTTACTGCTTGGTACCTGGCCACCCTTGGAGTCAACTGGGGTCTTTGTTGCCCATGTTTGCCTCTGGATAGGGGGGTAGTTTTCATCACTGGTAGGGGCGTGGGGTACTGCACAGCTAGTTTTCACTTCATACAGTGGCCGGCTCTGTTCCACCTGGGTAGGTTGTCCTCTTGCAGGGTTTTGTTTTTGTTTTTCTGCCTGGTCTGCCTTTAGGTTGCTGCAACATGCTAGGTAAGTTGCTTCCCCGGATGCCCCAAGACTGCCCCGTTTTGGATTTATGGACCCGGACTTGGGGTGGGAGTCACTTCAGCTCTGGTTTCGTCGTCCTCCCCCTTGTCCTTCCCATTCTGTTGTCCATCCGGTTTCTTACCCCTTGCTTCCGGCTCCGAAGCATCTGAGGGTTTCGGAGTAAGGGCAGGGTTTAGTTGGTGTTGAGACTCGGGCAGCCTAGGAGGAGTCCCCTTCCGGAGTGGTGGTGGAGGCATTTGAGCCTGGTCCTCCTGCTGGAGCTTCTGGGCCTGACCAGTGGGTCCCCCCTTCGTTCCTGCTTTTTCGGCTGCTCCTGCCTTTTCTTTAGAGGCAGGGGGTGTTGAGGACGGCTTGGCCCCGGATCCTCGGGGTGAGGTTCCTAGGGCGGGAAAGGAGTTGACTTGGGGGCCTTGGGCCCCGTTGAACCCCGCTTAGGTTTTTGTACCCTCGAAGTGGGGCTTGGTGTTACAGGGTGTGGGGTTCTCTTTTGCTCCCTTCTTGTGCGAGTTAGATTTGACGTCTACCCCTCCCCGGGTTCAGTTGCGTGACCCCGACGGTTCTTGGGTTCCGTCTTTCCGGAGGTTTCTTCCCGATTCCAGTCCCAGTGCGTGCGTGACATCTTTGCTACTTACCTCCTGCATGACCACAATTTTTCTTTTGTGATGGATCCGCATTCCTTTGTGTATGGATCTCCGTGTCCATACTTGGTTCGTTTCGAAGTTCTGGAGTCATCATGGGTAGCAGACTGCCCTTTCTTCTCTTTGGAGGCGTGGCATACATTCTGCCGGTCCTGCACGCATGAGTGACGGGAGGCTCAGACGGCGTTGTAGGTTTTCCGGGGGACGCATTTGAGCATCTTGGTGAGTGCTTGTTCGCCCCTGCCCTTCCGCAGGATGTTGGTGTGATGTATCTTCATGTACAGGGTTCCTTCCGTCGACTGCGTTGGTCGCGAAGGACTTGCATACATGGGGCCTGCTGGCTACTGCCCTGCAGTTCTTCTCCCTCCTTGAGCTGTCTTCGGACTGGCTTACCGTGGATGTGGAGGAGCTTGGGGATGTCTCTTGTGTCTGGCGCGTTGCCATCAGGGGCGCATGCGTCGTCTGCAATGTTGAAGCTGTTCGCGCCGTTCCTGCAGGATGTAGCAGTTTCGCTGTTTTTTGCTTCTCGGCTCGCGTGTCGGCAGGCGGTGCTCGTTTCTTCCTTGGAATCCGCTTGGGCCCTGGCCCTTAGATTGTCTTCTCCCTTTTGTCCGTTGCTGTTTGCAGAATCTGCGGTGATGCAGTATCTGCAGGCGACTTTGGCTAGTTGCTATCCTATGTCTGAATTGTTGGTCCTCCAGGGAGCTCATGGGGGGGCCGTCCCGGTGGCCAAAACCCCTGCAGGGAATTCTATTGCGAACACAGTGATACCAAAACAAACGACGAAGCACGAGAATTAAGGTGAGAAAACTGAAACGAGTATAAACATTTTGATGTCGCCGCACGCTCACTTTGGCAACATGTCTTATGTTGACATTCAGGCACGGGGTTTTTGGAGGTCGAACAGGGTCCTTGCAGCTCACTACCTTGTCAGTGTCCCTGGACCTCGTAGGGTCTGCGTTGCATTGGGTCGGCGGTTACAGCCAATTGTCTCGGCTTCGCTTTGAGGAGTGAGGTCTGACAACCTCCCGGGTAGGTCCCTGTTTTTTTCTTGTTTTTGGGTAGTTAGCTCTGGGGAGCCAACTGGGTCACCCCCCCAGAAAACCAGTGTTGAATATAATGAAACATTCATTTCTGGGTGAGTTCTGGAGGCTCCCCGGCATCCCTCCCTCCTCTCCCTCCTTCCCGGTCGGCGGTGTTTTCACGTATTTTGATTTCCAGCCTAAGTACTGAAGGGTAGATCGCCGGCATGAGGGTCTAGGGCTTGCTATTCTCCCTGTTGGGGAGGGTGGGGTGGGTTGCGCAGACAGCAGTACGGTGATCTCATGACGTTTTGCCAATTTTCGTTTGGGGAGTTCTGTCCACTCGTTCGGCTTTTGGTAGCAATAGTTTCATCAGAATAGGGGTTTGTTTTGGGGCGCCTACCTTTCTGGGTGCCTGTCCCGGTTGCTGGGAGACATAGAATGCTTCTAACCACATAGGGGGTTTCTATAGGCCATTGCTCCTCATGCCTCTCTTGAGGGGGTCAGGTTCTGGCTCCTGATCCCCTATAGGCAAGAACTCCGTGCACATTAACTGATGCCAGAAAGTTATACATATCCATTCATCCTGGTTACCTCCGGGGAGCCTCCGGGTCTCACCCAGAAAATGGCAGTTCATTACATTCAATGCTGGTTTTGCAAGTTTTTTTTATACAAATAAATAGAATACCTAATATTTTGTTAAAGTATTTATTTAGAGATGTCAACTACAAAAAAAATTCGCTTGTACTAGTTCTTCAACTTACCAGTAGGCCACCTCTTGCATACCTTTGGGTTGTACTGTACATGCTAGTTTAGGAACAAGTGAGCTATAAATTATTTTATGGCTCATTGTGGTAAATGTTATTGTTGCTAGTGGTACATATTGTCTCTGAGCTATCTCTAAGTAAGTTTATTTCTTACAGTAATTTATCTTGAGGGATTCCTACAAGATTATCATCATTCAGCCTTGGCTCGTTTCCTGGCACTAACCTATAGAAGTTACTTCAAATATTTTAGTCATTTTATGCATTAAAAATTGCTGGATGTCTTGAAACATGCCCAATTTCCAACAGATAGGATGCATGTGTTTTGGCCCACCACCAACCAGATACAGCATATATTTTATCATAGTGCACAAAGTCTCAAGTTTTTCCCCCTTGCAAAACCACTTTAAAATCACTTTCAGTAAATGTTTGATGAAATGTACTAAAATTGTTTACCACATAATATTCTTGAAAATTATGTGCGTCCTGTACTCCAGATAATATGGTAATGGAAATTTTATTATTTCATAGTTTGATCTCTTGGTGAAACAACTGACAAAAAGAAATGTGGAAACTCAAAACTAATATTTATTGAATGTGTGTTTTAGTGGAGACAATGTAACAGCCATGATAACTTTCCTCAAATTTTATCCTGTTGGCTGACCATTTTGGCAAATGCTGATTGTACACATCCGCATCGTAAAAACATTTGTAACTTTGTCAATTATTTTTTTCCAGATACGTCTATCACTTCTTGGAGTGCGTACCATTTCCCAGTGCTCGAAGACCCAGAATCCTTATTCAACTGGATGCCAAAGAGCGCATATCTCTAGCACAGCCTGAAGACTCTCCGATATGTTTAAGGTAACATACGAGGCATACAGGCATGCTGTCGGGATGTTACAGTGGATTGTTGGCATTAGAAGTGTGTGAGTTAAGAGTTAAGCCAATATGACAATAAGCATTGGGGGTTTATTCCTAAAAGCATCAGCATTAAGACATCTAGTATCACAAGGGAGAAATATACCATAAGGTTTGCCTGAATTTCTAAGCTTTTTTCCTGTACACACACAGCCTGGGCGTAATCCAATCAAGCTTTAGCATAGAGCTTTAGTGTATGTTCCTTGTTAAGTACATAATGCCTGACCTCTTGTGAAGGGTTTAGGAATGACAGGAGTGTGAAGAGTGCCACAACAATATGGTGATGTTCAAGTACTAACTGTTCAGGTTTTGTTAAATACAGGCGACCCTCGGTATAGGAAGGCAGTTATGTTCTTAGAAAGTGGTGTGATAACTTAAAATGCAAAATCTAAATGAATTCCTAATGACAAATACAGGGTCACAGCTCACATGCCCTCTCCAACTCATTCTGGGCAGGACTAGAAGCAAAATTTAGAATGAAGAAACTTACATATACATACAGTACCCACTGGGGAAAGCTTTACAATTGGCACAAATATAACAATGAATCGACATTAACATTAATAAATCATACTTTGATTAAATTTGACTCTAGTATGTTTTGTCACTGGGAAACCTTAAGTAAAAATAAAAACACAAACTTGAAGGCAGATTTAATAAACAAGCAAAATTCAAATGAGAGGAAGAATTAAGTGTTGTAAGAGAGGCAATGATCAATACACCTCTGAAACAATATTGAAGCCATATGAAGGGATCAAACCTGCATTCCTCAACTCTTCAGGCAGACACACTAGGGACGTGGGTTTGACTTCATCAGATGGTTATGTTATTTTCTCAAAGAAGTTAGAATGTTGTGATTTCATTGTGCATTAGTAATCTAGCAAATTGATTAATTGCTAATTATTTTCTCTCTACAAGACAGTTATAATAACTTACCTGAATTGATACGTATTTTGTCCATGAAATGTCGGTTTGTTTCAAAGAGACTTGATTTTAATAAACAAAAATATTCTAAGCTTGAAACAAATGGTGTGTACAGTATGTAGCATGCATGCTGGAAATTGTAGCTTAGATGGCACCATTGGTATGGTACTGTAAATAAGCTGCATGATACTCGGGTTAAGCACCATTGGGTCTGGTCAGTACCTGGATGGGGAAGTACATGAATATAGCCTCACTTTTCACTAAGTGAATCTTCATACTGTATATCACAAGTGTGACGGTAACGCGTTGGTGTTCGGCTGTTTAAGGCTAGGGGTATGGCCTCGTCACATAGTTATAAAAAAAATAGAAAAAACTGGAACTTCGTCTGTGGTAAGGTAAGGAGAAGACACACAAAACACAAGTAAACTTTAACAATGAAATTTTAATTACGTTAAATAAATCAAACATGAAAATAATGCACAAACAAATTCTTATAATAAAATCAATGAATCAAAATAATAAGAATACTTAAATGACAAAATGAAAAGTTACGTTAAGGCAAAATAACAAGAAGTGCAACACAAAGGTAAGTGGGAGGTGCTGGAATATTGGCTTAAAGCCACCACCTCTCTCAGTACACGCTAACGTCTAGCTGGGAGGAGTGCTGGCTACGAAAGCACGGAACATTCTGAGGACTGATGTTGGGGTGACCCCAGACATCAGGTAGTATTGGGGGCGAGTGCAGGTGCAGCCAGACCGGCGACCAATCAGCGGAGCCGTAGCGATCAACGGGTAGTTTGGTGGTTGGAGTTCGAACAGGTGGCTGGTTGCATACGTTTCTGCTCACCCTGGCAAGCCTTGCTGGTGCTGGTGTTGTTGTCGGACATTTCTTCCATAGTCTTTTATATAGTTGTGAAGACGTAATTTTGGAGGGAAGAGCAGGCTCAATCTCTTGAAGGAGATTATCGTCACAACTCTCCCCCGAAGCCTGCGGTTCTGGAAGAAGTACGTCGTTATGTGGTGGAGTAATGGATGGAGTTGCTTCTACTTCATAAACTCTGGAGAGATCATGGGCTAAGATGTTGTCAGACTCTTGGTATAGCGTGTCTCCAGGTTGAATTTCTGCAGTTAGCAAGCCCATAGTAGAAGACGTTGAGATGAGAAGTGGGCGTGCTGCAGGAGGTGTAGGGTGGTGTGGTCCGTATTGATGGTGGACCGAGCACTTTTCAGGTGTGGAGTGAAGTGCTGAAGCTTCAGGATGAGGAAGAGTAGTTCCTTGCCAATTGTTCCGTAGATCCTTGTAGCAGTAGTCGCTGACAAGTGTATTCTTCTCGCCTCGTTGCTGCATCACGACACCACCCACGTCGGTACCATTGGCGTCGACATGGAGGATGAAGGGCTTATCTGACGAGGTGAGAGTGGAATTAGAAGAGGGCATAGGAGCACGAGTATTATCCTGAAAGCATTTGGGAAGATCATTAAGGATTTTGGAATTAGAAGGCGCCGACTCCTTGTCAGTGCTTTCGGGAGAAGAAGCCGGGATGGTCTCACTGTGGATGTAGGGTTCTGTGAAGGTAGAACAATTAATCAAGACAGTGGGAGGAGTACCATTATAGTGCTTCAGGAGGTTGACGTGGCACAGCTGGGTCTTCCGCCGCCTATCTGGAGTCTCTATCACATAATTATTATTATTCCTGCACTCTTTGACGCAGTAGGGTCCTGAAAATCTGTTTTGTAAAGGTGAACCTGGGATAGGGAAATAAGCAAGGACGAAGTCTCCCGGCTTGAATTTTCTTACTTTGCTGGTCTGGTCGTAATGAGTCTTCATTCTCACCTGGGCTTTCAATAGATTATCATGAGCAAAGCGGTGGACTCTCTCTAGAATGTGTTGAAGGTTTTGAAGAAACTGGGGCACATTCTGATGCTCACTGAAGGTGGCATCTCTGAGAGAGTCTTTGAAAGCCTTAAGGGGAGTACGGCACTTACGGCCGTAGAGCATCTCATAAGGAGATACTCCTAGGGACTCATTGGGGAGACTTCTGAAAATACACATTATTAGGTCAATCTGCTTATCCCAATCCTTTGAGGTTTCACTACAAAACTTTTTCAAGAGTGCTTTGATGGTCTGATGACTACGTTCAAGAGAACCCTGTGAAGCAGGATGATAGGGGCTGGACAATACCTGTTTGATGTTGAACTCCTCCAGTGTCCTTTTGAAGAGATCACTGGTGAAGTTGGTGCCACAGTCACTTTGAATCTCCCTGGGAAATCCGTATTGAGTGAAGATCTTCAATAGATGTTTGATAACCGTAGCAGCCGTGATGTTCTTCACTGGAACTGCTATGGGAAATCTGGTGGTAGGACACAGGATGGTTAGGATGTAGGCGTTACCTGAACTGGTCCGAGGTAAAGGACCGACACAGTCTATTATGAGTCTGTGGAAAGGTTCCGCAGGCACCTGTATGGGAATCAGTGGTGCTCTGGGAATGGAGACGTTCGGTTTGCCTGCCATCTGACATGTATGACACTGTTTTACGTACCGTTTGACGTTGTTTACCATACCTGGCCAGTAGTAGTCTTGACGAATCCCATGGTAAGTCTTGTTGAAGCCGTAGTGGGAGAATGCTCCATGGGCCAGGTGTAGAATAGTGGGCCGCAGGCTGGTGGGAATCACAAGTTGTTCGGTGTTGGCCCAATCGTCCTCCTCCTTCAGTTTACTGGGTCTATATCTGCGGTAGAGCAAGTCGTTCTCTAGGAAGAACCCAGGAATACTGTCGGGTTGAGTCTCAGCCTGGAAAAACAATGGTGTTAAAGTAAGATCTTCCCTCTGCAACTTACGGAACTCCAACTTGGTCAGATGCGGGGGTAGTTTCTGAGGGTCTTGAGGGACAGCGGTAACAGTAGAGTCAGCTGGCTGTGGACGTGCGGCTTGTGCACGGGTGGTCACGAGAACCGGAGGAGAAACTTCATCACTCTCTTGAACCTCTGCTGGAACATACTCGAGAATAGGATTTATGGGCACAGAGTTACACACCTGGGGTTTGTCCATGACGATCAGGTTGGTCGGTTGCAGGTCTTCTGCCAAGTCGTTGCCTAGGAGAAGTTGCACTCCAGGCATGGGAAAAGGCTTTTCCCTGACGGCGACTTGGACTTCCCCGTTCACGTAGGGACAATTCAGGTGGACTCTGGCGAGAGGGTATGGAGTGGTAGCAGTGAGGTCAGTGATGAAGACTGTTTCCCCGGTGTAGACTATGTTGGGCACAGCCGACTTCAAGATGATCGATTGTAGAGCCGCTGTGTCCCTCAAGATCTTCAATTTGAAACGTCCCTCCGGATTTGAACCGTTGGCAGAGACAGTTCCAGTATACAGGTGGTTACTGAAAAGAGAAAGATCATTAACATCAACACCAACATTCATCACAGGCTTACCGGACTTAGGAGGAGTTGGTTTGGGTCGTTGTTGGTCAGTGGTTCCCTTGTATTGAGACTTACCACACTTGTCTATGGTATGTCCATAGAGTCTACAATATTTGCAGTACAGTTGTGAACCAGCTTGATCGGGGCTCACCTTCTCGTAACTGTACCACGACTTCTTACTGGAGGATGGTTCAGGTGTCAGCCGGTGGATGAGGCTGTAAGTGTCAGCCGACTTAGCACACTTCAGGTAGTCGGTTTCTTCTTTATCTGCTAAGTAGAGGCGGACAGGAGGCGGCACACGTCTCAAGAATTCTTCAACAAGCATCAGGTTGACGAGTTCTGTAAAAGTAGAGACATGTGCTGCTTCCAGCCATTTCATGAAATACCTCCGTTTCGTGTTGGCAAACTCGAGGAAGGTAGTGGTACTTGCCTTCAGGTGGTCACGGAATTTCCTTCTATAACTTTCTGTGGAAAGTAGGTAGGCGTCTAACACTGCTTGTTTCAGAGTGTAGTAGTCATTCTCAGACGCCAAAGTACTGAGTGTGACTGCAGCTCTACCTGTAAGATGGACTCTGAGAAGTGTGGCCCATTGGTCGACAGGCCAACTGAGTTGATTAGCAAGGGTTTCAAAGGTGGTAAAGAACACATCAACTTCTGCTTCTACAAAGGATGGCATTAACTTACTTGCATGTGATATATTAAAACTGACGGGAAGATTGGCAGTAGCTTGCTGGCGTTGAGTGAAGTGTGAAGTTTCCAAGGCGATTTCACGTTGACGACACTCTAGAGCCAGAGTTGCTTGTTGCTTGTCATGTTCGCGTTGCATCTCCAACTCGCGTCGTTTGGTTTCAAGCTGTACTCGTTCCCGCTCCTGGAGTGTTTCAAGCTGTACTCGTTCCCGCTCCTGGAGTAGTGCAACCTCACGTTCCTGGAGGGCGAGTCCACGTTCGTGTTCTTCTCTTCGTATGGCAGCTGCTTCTCTTTGCTGCTCACGTTCAATCTTGGCCAGCTCTAGTTTGAGTTTCAGCGTTGCCAAATCAGTTTTATCTGCAATATAGTAAGTTTCATGAGTTTCAGAGTCTATCTTACCTTGCTCTAAATAGTAATCCAGCAACAGGTTGTGTAGGTCATTTTTGTTGGCTTGGTAGGGAACTTCTAGTTGATACTCATGTGCAAGAGTTTGTAGTTCAGTCCTCTTGGCACGACTTAAAGTCCCTATTTCACCTGCTGGATTTGCACGGAAAGTTTGGAGACGAAACATGGTGAAATTAGCAAATAAAGGTACACGAATGTTCAATAATGAAATGTCAGAAACAGGACAACGTGGCAACTGGTACCTATCCTGTGTGATCTTTAACAATTAACGTTAAGTGAAAGATTAAATGATTAAATTAAATCAAGGGCGCAGGAAATCTTGTACCCGGTACTCATGTAAGAGAATAAGGGCAAGAAAATCCTACTAACAAATGAAACAAAGTTTCGAAAACAAATGAAACAGTTAAATGCTTCAAAAGTAAAATTGGTAGTCCAAGGATGTAGGCATACCTTGCCAAGTCTCTATAGGACATAAAGCAAGTTTTTCCCACTGAATTTAATATGATACTTACAGAATTAGCGAACTTTTGTGCTCTGAAAAAATAAGCTAATTCCCTACCGTTGTATGTATCATCATCTCTGACTGACGTGTAGGGGTGCGAGGTGTCAACTGGTGACGAGAACTGCTGCTGAGGTCCCAATTCAGCAACTAAAGTTCGAGCTAGAGGAACTATGGCCCTCTTTGTCCTCCTACAGTCAGATTGCAGAAGATTGGGTACTCTTGACCCGGGGCAGACCACAGTACCAGGGTACCAATATGATGATCTGTCAGAATGAGAAATATTCAAGGGACATAGATGGTAAATACGAGTAATAACATGGAGGGAGAGATGACCAATTAAGAGTATGACTGAGGCCTACAGTCACCACGTAATCCAAAGTTGTCTCACCTTCACTATATGTTACTCTCGTAATGCACAATACACCGCACCTTATAAAAAATGAAATTGAATGAAAAATAGTAAAGCTACGTTAACAGAGTTAAATACGCTTACCATAAATTACCACTTGGCACCAGTACCTGAGTGAAGCTCCTAGGACAGGCCCCCATATAACTTGTGACGGTAACGCGTTGGTGTTCGGCTGTTTAAGGCTAGGGGTATGGCCTCGTCACATAGTTATAAAAAAAATAGAAAAAACTGGAACTTCGTCTGTGGTAAGGTAAGGAGAAGACACACAAAACACAAGTAAACTTTAACAATGAAATTTTAATTACGTTAAATAAATCAAACATGAAAATAATGCACAAACAAATTCTTATAATAAAATCAATGAATCAAAATAATAAGAATACTTAAATGACAAAATGAAAAGTTACGTTAAGGCAAAATAACAAGAAGTGCAACACAAAGGTAAGTGGGAGGTGCTGGAATATTGGCTTAAAGCCACCACCTCTCTCAGTACACGCTAACGTCTAGCTGGGAGGAGTGCTGGCTACGAAAGCACGGAACATTCTGAGGACTGATGTTGGGGTGACCCCAGACATCAGGTAGTATTGGGGGCGAGTGCAGGTGCAGCCAGACCGGCGACCAATCAGCGGAGCCGTAGCGATCAACGGGTAGTTTGGTGGTTGGAGTTCGAACAGGTGGCTGGTTGCATACGTTTCTGCTCACCCTGGCAAGCCTTGCTGGTGCTGGTGTTGTTGTCGGACATTTCTTCCATAGTCTTTTATATAGTTGTGAAGACGTAATTTTGGAGGGAAGAGCAGGCTCAATCTCTTGAAGGAGATTATCGTCACACAAGCTTCCTGCCCCCAACTTGGTATATGCAAAAATGCTATTATTTACAAGTTATCTAACTGCACACAATTATATATTAATGGTTATTATTACTTTAGAAATGATTAGTTGATGCACTTGTTCTCATTTTTTAAGACTGTAAAAAGGTAGGAAAGGCATTAAATGATTGCAAAAATGTTCACACGCCTGGCAATATTGATGTTCTGGTGAGTTGCAGAAGTTGTACAAGTTATGAGCAGTAAGTAAGGTTTCTTGAGAACATTTAGTTTTATAATGATGGAAGATTGTGTCAAAGTACTGTAATGGATGCGCCTTCTTCTTAGACAATTAGAGCAGTTGCATATTTTTAGAAAACTAGTCTTTGTGTAGAAGTTCTCTTGTCAGACAATTAGACTATCCATGTGAAAAAGTTTGAATTTTTTTAGAGAATTAGATCCTATAGGTTCCTTTAATTTTTATTTCACTTTTACCTGTAATTAATGTCTGTTTGGTAAATAATGAATGTGAAACATGCATGTATCACTTCCACCGAGGAAATTATTGAGCAAGTGAATGTTGCAGCGGCGCCAAGTTCCGGCAGTTGGTGATGAACCTTCGTCCAGAGGGCTGCCTCACAGTTCTGCTCTTCGCACTCACGGAACAGAAGATCCTCTTGCACTCTCTCAGACCCGATGTTCTCACGGCAGTTTCCGAGGCTATCAGTATGGTGTGTATGTCGGTTGTCCTGCGTGCTTTGTGTCCATGCTATTTATATAATCTGTTGCTCAGATAGTAACATGCCTTTCATTGACTTGGATCATCAGAGATTTAAAGTCTCAGTTGGGCACCAGTTAGGTACTTTTGATAACCTTTCTTTATTGTGAGCATCTATAACCTGGGTGGTAGAGCAATTGTCTCATAGTTTTGATTCCAGAGTTTGAATCTGATGATCCAATTTAATGAAATGTTATTTCCCACACTATTGTGAATTGTGTCCTATAGTAAGATGCACTCATTTTTAGCTTATTATAAATGATTTGCATTGATGTTAAATGCATTGTTTGAATGATCATACTGTAGCATATTACTGAGTTTATACAAGAGCTCAGAAGTTATGTTAACAATTATAAGTTTGATTACAAATATTTAAATAGCATAGCAAGTTATATGATGCCACCAATTTTTCTTTATTTCCAGATTATTTTCCCCTTCCACTGGCAGTGCCCATACATCCCACTGTGTCCGCTGGGGCTCTCCGACTTCCTCAATGCACCCATCCCTTTCCTGCTTGGCTTGGACTCCAGATTCTTTGATCTTTACGACCCTCCGTCTGATGTGATTTGCATAGATCTTGACACGGGAGCCATGTCTGTGTGAGTCATTCAGTGTGGTTCATGTCTTGCTCTGATAACAACCTTCCAGGAGAAAAAGGAGTATTTCATAACAATGGTCCCATTGTGGCAGGGTCAGTAATTTGTCATATTGCAAATAGTGTTTATATATTTTTAATAGCTCCTTTATCTTAATGTAGTTTGGTATTTTGATTAGTCGTTATTCATTGTGGAGTTTATTTTCTGTGGGGAGCCCCGTCGGCTCCCTGAAGCTATCAGACTGACATGTGCCATATTCGTTTGGTGCCATTAGCCCCTAGAGTTCTAGTGCCTATCGAAGACCACGAGCCAGAACCTGGTTTCCTCAGAGAGGCGCAGGGAACAATGGCATATGAGCACTCGACTTTTTGAGAGTATGTCATGTCTGCCATCAACTGGAGGTATCACCCAGAAAGGTGGGTAAACCATTACAAACCCCTACTGGTAAAACATTCCAACGTAAGATGGAACAAAGGCTAAGAACTCCCCTTCCCCCCCCCCCCCTGCCCAAATAAAACAACAAACAAATGTCTACTCAACCAGCGTGCCCGCTCATTGGTGACCCCCCCTCCACAGGGAGGGGGAAGGGGGGACCCTGAATGTGGCCCTAGCACTAACACCGGCAGTTTGTCAACTGATGCTGTATACAACAGACATTACCTCTGGCATCATTCTCTTGCCGGATTTTACCCTGTGTGGTTGTGCTGGCTGTGTGATTTTGTGAGGTGGCCAGGTGTTCTAAGAAGTACTTGGGCTGCATGCATCTAGGGTTCCCTTCCCTAGGCGCCTGGTAAGTACTGCCCTTGGGTGTTCAGGGTTTTCGTCCCTGGGACATTCGGCATTACACTCCCGTTAAGGTTAGTGTCGCTTGTCATTAACCTCAGCCTTGGGGTTCATCGGGGGTCATGGGGGGGCTCTTCATCTGGCCCTAGGTAAGGAGTGTTTTTGTTGTTGGTGGAGGGCGCATGGTGTTTTACGCAGCTAGCACAATCGCTGCAGCCGTGTCTCTCTCTGGCCTCCGGTTGTTTGTGGCATTTTCTCGAGGGTTAGTTTTCCTATTTTTACCTGGAGGTGGTGTGCCTAGCTTCCATTTAGGTTCACCTAGGTTGTTTGGTGGTCCTCCTCTGGGCCCCTCGAGGTTGCACACATGGCTTTCTTGGGTCAGTTTGACTAGTATTAGACAGGGTGGCATTACTGAAGCTGTTTACGTCCATTCTCCGAGAGGCTGTCTCTCTGTTTGCCTGTCGCCGGTGTTTCCTCTGGGGCCTTCTTTGTTTGGTTGGTGCAGTGGTCACTCTACACAAAGGTCGGTTTCTCCTGGGGTCGCATCGGCCTTTTTGTGGTTTGCCCTGCTGACGGGGCAATGTTGGGGGGGGGGCCACTGGCCCTGTTTGCCCAAGCTTGGTCCCACGATACGCTGGCGCTTTGAGTCGTGTCTTCCAGCCTTTGGTGGCTTTGGGCAGCTCCTCCTCCTCCACCTGCTCTTGGGGGTTGAGGGCTGGTGGGGCAGGCTTCCTCCCTGTCACACTGTCGGGTCATTTTGGAGTGGGTGTGCTTGGGCGTGGTCAAAACAACCAGGTCTCTCAGGTGGGGTTCCCGCATGTTTCCAGTGCCGAAACAGAACTGTGCGGATCTGAGGTTCATTCTGGACTTGTCCTGTCTGAACCCCTGGATTCCTTGCCCCTCCTTTTGGATGACCACTCTGTCTCAGGTCTGGCTTCTTTTAGAGCCGGGTACCTGGATGGTGTCCCTGGAACTCAAGGATGCGTATTGGCACATTCCTATTCATTCGGGGTTCAAGGACTGATTAGGTTTCGTGGTGGGGTGTCAGGCTTACCATTTTCATTGCCTTTTGGCTTGAATCTAGCACCTCGCATATTCACATGTCCTACCCGGGTCGTGGTGAACCGTTTGCGTCTGCTAGGGGTTCGAATTCTGGCCGGCCTCAACGACTGGCTGGTGTGGGTTCCCAGTCGGTCCGCTTGTCTGCTCGCCAAGGTTGTGGTTCTTTCCCAGCTCACCGAGTTTGGGTTCCAGGTGAACTGGAGGAAGTCCCATCTGGTTCCATCCCAGGTTTGAAACTGGCTGGGTCTTGTTTGAGACTCTAACCGCTTCCATGTCTCTCCCCTCCAGAAGTGTTGCTGAGGTTGCGTTTCTGCCTTCAGCTATTTCTGGGCGGTCCGGGGTCACTCGGCAGTTGCTTGAGCAGTTGTGGGGGAGTTTGAACTTTGCCGTGCAGGTCTACCCGTTGGGTTGGGTTTGACTTCGGCATCTGTTCTGGTTCTTTCGGGAATGCCCCGTCTGCTGCTTTCGTGATCGCTGGGTTCGAACTCTGGGGGCCTTGCATCGGTTGCTGCATCACCGGCTTCCTCTTCAGGGTTTTGGGGGTTCAGTGCCTTGATGCCTACCCAGCCCTCACTCAATGTGTTCACAGATGCCCCGTCTCTTGGCTGGGGCTTTGTGACCAGTGTTCACCAGGCTGGCCAGGAGCGGTGGGGTCTGTCCTTCCGTCGGGCTCACAGCACGGTGCGGGAGTTCGCAGCGGTTTGGCTGTCGATTTGGAGTTCAGGATTTGGTTCAGGTCACTCGGGGTTCAATTATCCGACTCCATTCAGACTGTTCTTAGGTGGTTCATTGCCTGAACTGCAGGGATTCTCTTCAGTCCTTGCCTCTTTGGGGTTGGTCGCTTCGAGTGGCTCATCTGTTGGCTTCTCTGGGTTTGGCTTTCTGTGCTGTTCATATCCACGGAGTGTCTAACGTCCTGGCAGATGGTCTGTCTCAGTTCATTACCCTGTCTACGGAATGGATGGTCAACGCCAACTCTTTCCATTGGCTCTGCCGGATGTACAGACATACGGACTCCCTAATGTGGACCTCTTCACGTCAGCATGGTCTCGGTGTCTCCTGATCTACGTGGCGCCCATCCCTGACTGCGAGACTGTCGTTGTGGATGCCTTTGGGTATGATTGGTCGAGGTGCGGTTACCTGTACCTCTTTTTCCCTGGTCCAGCTATTGCTTTGGGTTCTGGCTTGGAGTCATACAAAGGGAGAGTAGTCTTCGTGGACCCTTGGTGGCCGGCCCAGCCTTGGTTTGAGGCGCTGCTTGCTCGGAGTGCTAACCCGGGAGGTTTTTTGCAGCTCTGCCTTTTCCAGCAGGTCGGACCAGTTTGATACATGGCTGGTTCAGGCTTCTCCTCCACTCTTCGTGTCTGGTCTTTTTGATGCAAGTCTATCACCATTTGTACGGTGATCAGGTGGCTTTGTTGATGGTGTCCCACGTGAGAGCTTCGCCTTGGTGACAATATGAAGTTTCCTGGCGTTCTGTCCCCCATTTTCTCTCTTCGTAGGTTATCTTCTATTTCTGATCGGATTGTCTGGTCCTTTCTGCCTTGGCTTTTCAGGACCGTCATTTGATGCCTAATACTGTCGCCTCATATCGTGCGGCGCTGGCGGAGCCGTTCCAGCTTGCGTTTGGGGTGGATGTCACTTCTGTCCCATTCCGTAAGCTTTCTCGTGCTTTGTTTCACCTCTGGGCTGCTCATGCACCACCTGAGCCATCCTGGTCCTTGGACAGGGTGTTCTATCTTTCCTCTCCTCAGTTTGTGGTGGACCCTTCAGTTCAAGATTGTTTTTCCAAGACTGTTTCTGTTGGCATTGGCCTCTGGGGGTTGGGTCAGAGATTTTCATGCTCTCCTCCGGCGCAGGGGTTTCTGCTCTTTCGTTCCTGGTGGTTGATTTGCTCAGTTGCAGCCTTCTTCTTTTCTGACAAAGAACGAGACAGCTGCTTTCCGGAGGGTCCCTTGGTTGGTCAGACCGGGGTGCATCATGTGTTGTGTTCGGTTGCGGCTCTTTGCCGTTATCTGAGCGCTTCAGCTTCGATAGCTGGGGATGCACTTTGGGTTGATCCGGTGTCCCTCATTCTGTTCCAGGGGTTGGGTCTCCCAGGTCATTCACAGGGTTATTAAATCTAGCTGGCCTGCAATCTATCCTTGTGACCATGTTGTTAGGAAGTTTGCTGCATTGGCTGCCGTGTTTGGCAACATGTCCTGGGATGATATTCGGGCACAGGGATTTTGGAGGTCGAACAGGGTCCTGGCCACCCGTTATTTGGTTAACCTTCCTGCTCCTGGGCATTCCTGTGTTGCTTTGGGTCGCAGGTTGCAGCCAGCCGGAGGCTCCCTCGCAACCTTCCCTCCCTTTGATCGGTGGTTTTTCGCATTGTTTGATGCTTAGTTCCTAACTAGAGTGCTAGGTAACTTGCGTGGGGAGGTCCAGGGCTTGCCCGTCCTCCTCTTGGGGAGGGGGCAACTGCACGGATGAGCAGCGCGGCGATGGAGTGTGACATTTGCTTGTTTACTTGTTTCCTTGGGATTGGAGGAAGTTCTGCCCCTCTTTTTGGTTTTTAGTTGTAATTTTCTTACCATGTGGGGTTTGTTTTGTTATTCCTTTCTTTCTGGGTGCCTAACCTCGGTTGATGGCAGATCAGGAAAACCCCCAACCACAAGGGGCAGTTTTCCAGGGCCATTGCTCCCTGCAGGGGCCAGGTTCTGGCTTGTGGTCCTCGGTAGGATGAACTCCATAAACTAATGTTCCAGTCTAATGTATCACTTATTAGCCCGATAGCTCTAGGGAGCCAATGGGGCTCACCCAGAAAATGGTATTTTATTACATTCAATGCTGGTTTTTTCACCTCCGACCTGCTCATGCACCACCTGAGCCGTCCTGGTTTTTGGATCGGGTGCTCTCTTTGCTCTCACCTCGGTTTGTTGTGGCCCTTTCAGTTCAGGATTGGTTCTAGAAGAATTTGTTTTTGTTGGCTTTGGCCTCTGGAGGTTGGTTTGGGAAGCTTCATGCTCTCCTCCATTGCAGAGGTTATTGATCCTTTGGCTCTGGGGGGGGGGGCATTTTGTTTGTTTGCAGCAGTCTCCTTTTCTGGCAAAGAACTGAGACGGTGGGCTTCCAGAGGGGTCCGTGGGTTACTGATGCTTGGTTGGTCTAACAGG